ACCCTCCCGGACCCCCCTCCCCTGCCGCCGGCTCTGCCCTCCGCCTCTCCAAGCCCCGGCCGACCGGCCGCGCCGCAGCCCGGGTGGGCTCTGCCTCTCCCCGGAGCGGGAGGCCGGGGTGCGGGAGCGATGCTCCCCACGGATGAGCACCTGCTGCAGTGTGTGAGCACCCTGCCCGCAGGCCTCCCTGCTCCCCTGGAGGACCCACAGCCCCCGCGCACTGTCTCGGGGGTTGCAGGTGTGGGTTTTGGATATGGAAAGTCAAAAAACACATCTCAAACCCCAGAGACCTGAACACGCCGCAGCACGCTCTCGGCCACCGGAGGTTTCATGGGCATTGCTGAGGTGATTTTTCTTCAGCTTTGTGCTGCCTGTTGGGTGCCTGGCAGGACACAGGGCTCCTGCTGGGGTTTCCCAGGCTCCATCACCAGGCCTATGCCAGGACCTGCCCAGAATGGGCAGGAGCAGGGACTGAGGGAAGACATCTGGCCCTTGCCCCTTGCACAGGTGCTGGGTGATTCTCTCCTGTTCTTCGTGGGGTTTCTGCTTCTTCTCATCTCCCCTTTCTCCCAGGTGGCTACGTGCTGCAGTTGCTATCAAAAGGGAACCCAGAGGATCTAAACGGGGCCTGAGTTGCAGGATCCCAGGGTGTGCAAGGTGTGCACCTTCCCATTGCAGGATGTCATCCTTGCTTGTGCAAGGAGATGGAGAAATCTTTAGTCCAGGGCGAAACCCGATGGCAGGCAGGGCATGAGCAGGATGGGTTACTGCACAGCCCCCCCCGGGTAGCTCATTCCCTGCCAGTGCCGAGCCTGGGTGCCGCTGCACATGCAGGCGTGGAGGGAAGGGACGGGGTGGGCTGTGCTGCGAGAGGGGGACTTGCACCCAGGGATCGCTCTCAGAGCACGGCAGCATAGGGCTCCCTGGGGCATAGCATGAGCCAAACTACACACAGACACAGCTGGAGTGGAGAAAAAACAAAGCCAGGTCTGACTCCCAGAGGTTTAGATGCCGTTTGAGTGGTTACAGTGTGCTATAAAATTTAATTAACATAGCTCCATGTGATCTTCTGTAAAACATTGCCTTCATCTCAAAGAAGGAATGTATGAGGGATCACCTGAAGCAGCCTCAGACAGAGAGGCGGTGGCTCCAGACACAGTCGCTGACTGCACTTGACCAGAGATGAAGCCATCCTTCCAGTCTTTATTTCTTATCTGGCCTGAGTGAAGTGCTCTGAAATAGAGAGTTCGAGAAAGAATCACCGGCTGCCTGGGGGAACGAGGGTGTTCAGAGCACAGGACCTCCGGCACTGTAATTCCTCCCTACCAAAAGCTTCGATTTGGAACTTCCCCTTATTTTTTTCACTCAGGACACAAACGATAAGAGAGCGAACCCAAGCACACAGCACTACCGAGAGAGACCCAGAACTGATCCAAGCTCTCCCAACTCCCAAGACTCCTTCCATAGTCAGCCCAGCGCTGCTTTGTCCCCAAACTTGAGTTTGAGCGTTTATGTACTTTGCATTAAATGTATTGGGCTAATTCTCCTACGTACACCTCTTTCTCCATCCTAACCTCCCCTCCCTTTGCAAGACAAAAGTACTGAATACACCAGGGACAGCCAATATGCACAGGAGGCTTAAGGACAAGGCAGGAATGAAGCCTTCTGAAACTTGCTTGAGATAGTCCCTTAGCTTAAATAGCCTGATTTTTTTGTTGTTATCAGTCTTTTTTTTTTTACTTTCTCTGTGTTGTTCCAAACCTCTGTTATTTGTTAAGACAGAACTGTTGCTGTATTGCTTTAGGAAACAGTTTCGGGCAGGCAGTTTAACATGGTTTTATTGATGCAGCATCAGTAGCATAAAAGTAGTACCAGAGTTAATCGGATTTACAGGAGTAAGCCTTTGAGCTCTAATTGCACAGAAAAGTTTGAGCTACCCTTAGAAATTAAGTGTTGCCAGCTAATCTGGAATCCTCTGGCTACCCTGTGTCCAGGTGTCACAGCCCAGGAAAAGGGAAAGGGCCTTGTGGAGGAGACATCAGAGATTTTGGAGAAATGAAAACAACAAACATTTTTAAATTCTCATCATTAGTTAAATTGTAGACATGCCCAGAAATAAAAATATTCCTTTTTCTAGAAGCCTGATGATACAGAGCCCAGGAGAGGAAAAGGGCTTGCGGCACTGCTGTCACTGTATTGCAGATAATCATTAGAGGGTTTCATCCCCTCAGAGGTTAAAGGCATTTATTGCATTAAAAAAGTCCTGACCTCTTGGAGAGATGTTGGGGGGGAGCAGAAGTGCAGGCGGGCAGAGCCACCTGCAGCAGGCAGGCCAGCCCCGCCGCCAGCCCTGTCCCTGCGGCTGGGATGCTCCGGCCCTTTCTGGGGAACGCCTGGGAATTTGGCTGCCAAAACAAGCCGGGCGTTGGTTCTGCTCACCAGCGCACCCCGGGGAGCAGCTCTGTAAAAATAAAACCAGTTTCGAGGTGCTAGTCCTGGTGTGAGTTTTCAGCCTGGCCAGGGAAATCGCTCGCCTCTTCGGCCTGTGAAACAGAGGGACAAACAGACATGCCGACTCACTTCGAGGGGAAATCTCCGGCTCACACACACTCGGTTCAGCCAGACACCCCTTGGTACAGAGCATCCCTGCTGCCAGCAGCGGGGGCAACATCATGTGAAGGGAAAATTCACTCTGAAATCATGGCTACAAAAGGAAAAGCCTTAAAACGAGTTCTGAGGACAGCCCTCAGGTGCTGCACCAGGCTCCCATGGCTTCTGGTATTTAGCACCTTGCTCTGTGGCACCTTACAGATGTCCCCCAGGCCAGAGCCACCCAGCCAGAGCACAGGGCTCTCGGCAGCCTCCCACCTTCGCCCCCCCGTCAGAGCAGGGAGCTGTGACCAGCAACGTACATGTGCCTGCAGCATTTGGCTTTGTGGCTACCAAGTGCCGCTCAGGTTTTCCTTTGGGACTTTGTTATGATTTTATGGCTTGTTACGAAGTAATCACGGCAGTCTATCAGCCTCCCTCCCCCGTGGAAGGATTTTAGAGGGTATTCCTTCTCCACAGTGGTGTGGGGATGCATATTAAAGACAAGCACCCAGGGACATCCCTGCAGGCTGCTTGCATAGCAGTCAGTCACCTAAAAGTGGCCTAACACAGATGTCACAGATGTCATCTCCATGGATTGATCCAGATTTCTTGATCCAAAAAATTGCATCCTAAGCCCGCCCATCCTCCTCTCAGTTTGGACACAAGCTCTTCATTATCACTCTTACTTCCACTCTACACCTTCCTTACTCCAAACTTAAAGGGCTCTGCCTCCTACACATTCCCAAACACACAGGTTACACCTACAAGCAGCCCCCTGATCCTCCCGAGACGGTAGTGCCGCAGCAGACCCTGCTGCCCAGCCTCCCCCCTGTGGGCTCCCTGTGCCCCAGCACTGGCACTGACAAGGAGCTGCAGCATGGATGTGGGAGCCCCAGCCACCGCACACGATGCTGTCGTGGAAATAATCCAAATTACAATTTAGCTCAGGTCAGAGCAGAAGCAGCTTCTTGCTATGACTACAGGAGAGGACAGAGAGCAGCATGACAGCTTCTGCTGGTGTGGACTAATAAAAAAAGGAAAATCACATATTAAAGTGCTTCAACTTTCCTTTTCCAGTATTAGCCATATCTTTAGATATAGCAGTATTTTAATGATGTCATCATTAGCTCAGTGACTTCACTAAAGCAATCCATTGCTCTCCAAATACATTGAGAATAGACAAGTAACTGAAAAATATGTATGCAAGAAAAAGTTAGAGCAAACCAATCTAAAATTTGGAGCAAACCAGTCGCGTCGTATAGCTGCAATCCTCGCCCCCTTTGCCAGGTTGGGCCTCTGGGCGGGCAGGAATATCTGTTATTCTTCTTGTCTCTCAGAGCTGCTTTGCCCACAGTTTGCAGGGAGCTGAGTAAATTACTCTGGCCAGGTTCACCATGGGTCCTTCCAGTCTCCTGAGTAGTTGTAGTGTGAAGTGATGAAGTGAACTATAGCCTGAAACGAGGGAGGGAGAGACATTTTTCAAGCAATAGGAGAGTTTCCCCACCTCTCCTGCACTACCTTCTCAGGAACATCTCCTAGGCAGAAATCCCTGGGTGCATCGCAGGAGCCGGAGCAACTCCACCTCCCCAGCAGCTGTATGGGGCTGGGAGGGGTGTTGCAGTTTCCCCAGCCTTCCCCACCTTCTTCATCCTTAAACACCTCAGTCAGTGGTGGCTCAGCAGTTCGTTTAGAGCATATTCAGTATGAACTGAAACATTTAAAGCAAAGTTCCTGCTGCCCTGGTGAATAAGGCTGACCGCTGGCTCTCTGGTGGAAGGAGGGTCTGAACGTTATCTCAGCCCCTTCCCCTGCACAGAGCCCCCTTCACCACTGAGTGCTGCTGCCTTGAGTGCCTGACTTCAGGGGAGGGGGGGAACACCACGTTGGATGGCACTGAAACTGTCACCTGGCCTTGTCCCCTGTGCCCAAACTGTTGTTATTCTTAAAGGCAGAACCTTTTAATGATCCCCAGAAGGGTTCCAGCTCCTCAGGGGAGGAGAAAGTAAAAAACCATATAACCCATGGGATCAGGGAGTTATCCGAGCATCCTTGGACACATGGACCTCTTGTGCCACTGACAATCATACTGGCTGACCCTGGCTTGTCCTGCCCAGCCACCCCTTGTGCACAAGCAGGATGGTATGCATTTGTCTAACGACAGGAGCCACAGGAGATTCCCGTTGCCACTGGGTACGTTATTTGCTGAGTTAGATGATGTTTGTTCCCCCATAATTCACCAATTTCCTCTGTACTACTTGGTTCTACTACTCAGCTTTATCAGGTTTAAATCTCTGTAAGCTGAGGCTATTCCTTTGCAACTGTGCATTTCCCTTTCTACCTAGTTCTTCACAACTTTGAAAATTCAAATTGTAGAGTGCACAGCCTTAGTCTGATTCTCTCAGTTTCCCTCCTGCTTTATAGCCAACACTGTTCATCCATTTCAGAGTTGGAAGTGATCTGTTACTTAGAGGAGGAGGTCTTGTACATACTTTGGTAAACCTCTCTTTTCATCCCCCACACTACAAATTTGGATCTCTAGGCCCTCAGCTTCAGCCATTTGCAACTCTGAGTGTTCTTCTAATGTTCTATAAACACCTTTTTTCCAATCCACTTGTTCCAATTAACCCGAGGATTTACTAGCACCGGTCCTGTTTGGGTGCCCCCATAATGCTCTGGAAGTTTGCTTACAAACGTAACATTATGGGCACTTTAGCAAAGGATCAGTCTCCCATCACATAAGGATTATATACATTTTACCTCAGGGATACTTACAGCTCGGCCAGCTCCTGCTGGCTACAACACCGTTGTGGGATGTTAGAAGCAGCCGCCTCCTCCAGCAGCCCCAGCTCAGGACCCTCCTGCCCGGCTGCTAGCGCCCAGCCCAGCGCCCAGGGACCTGGGGGCCTCTGCCCAGGCTGGGGGACGTGGCTGCCACTTTCCCGTTCGCAGGTTTGCCCGGTAGCGAAGCTGAGCATAAATCCCAGAGACACACAGCCACAGGACACACACACAGAGGACACCGACACGGCTGGGCTTTTGGAGAGGACAGTGTATGCACGCAAGGAGTTGGAGCTGCCTTTGGGGGCAGTGGAGCTTCCTCTGATTGTCTGGGTCCCATTTTCACTCTTTCAGGGCAAACAAAGTCAAGCCAGAGGGAGCCTGTGTCACCTGGATCCTCAGCCAGGGAGTACAAAGCTGAGACCTATCCATGGCAAAGGGCCAGGAGAAGAGGTTCAGGCATCCTCCAGAAGACTTAATCCCCTCAAAACAATCAACTGCATGTTTTTCACCCCCAAGGCAACTATCCAGAACCAGAGACTAAAGGGAAGGAAACAAGACACAGGAGGGGTCCCTCCTGGTCACGTCCAGCATGAGCCTGCCATGCTGGCTGCGGTCGGGGTCATTAGCAGTGGTACCAAAGGCTCAGACTGGAACCAGAGACAGGGAAGGGTTAATGGGGTTGGTCACACCACCCGAGTCTTTAACTGCTGGGGCAACTTCTTTTGCAGCTGGGCGATGTCCCAAGAGTCTGTCCCTAAGTAGCAAAGACCTCAATGCCCAGCTCTCAAGCACCACCGTTCATCCAGGCTCATTCATGCTGTAATTCCGACCTGGACCTTTCCTGACCTACCTCTCCTAAGGACTTCATCAATTTGTGATCTTTCTTCCCTCTTTTAGCTGGCTAAAGAGCAGGAACTCTCAATGGGACTCTGGACTGACCTGCATTAAAAGCTGGGATTCAGCAGCCCCCGCATGCTGCAGGAGCCTACAGACAACCCTCAGCCAAATTTCAGCAGGGAGCAGCCTGCGGCCCTCCCAAGTGAAGCAGGACATGTGAATCCCAGTCACAGCACCAGATGCTGTTGCAGAAATAACCTGAATTGCAATTTAGATCAGGTCAGAGCAGAAGCTATTTCTTGCTCTGGCTATAGGAGAGGACAGGGAGCAGCGGAGCAATAGCCTCTGCTGGTGTAAACTCTGCCCCTGTAGAGAGGGTACATGGTGTACAAGCACCTAGAAACACTAAGCCACAAACAGGTAAGAGGACACGTGCTGTACATACGTGTTACATGCACAAGGCCACAGAACCTCTCAAGGCTGCCCTGGGTTCTGCTTTCTTCAGCACAAGAATGAATTTATCGTGACAGTTTCACTGCGATTATTGTTTCAGGAGACAGGGCGAGAATTCGGTCAAGAGGCACACTCAGGCTGTACTTAGCATCTCTACTTCCACGCTTCGGAGCCTAAGAGGCAAAGGCAGAGGGCAGATACCCCTGGCTGCTCTCTTCTCTTGCCATAGCCTGACCCCAGGAACGACGCGACACACAGCCCTCCTCTCATACTGGGTACAACAGGTGGAGAACCAGGGTAAGCAGTGAGTAACGAGCTGGGGAGTAATTCAAAGCCTCCAGGCATCCCTCCCTGTTCCATCCCTGTGACTGGTCTCTGTCAACAAAGCCTGATCCACAAAGCGAAAGGCAGCACTTCTCATTCATAAAGTCAGTTACATCAGAGGTCATCGTTGGCTCATCGTGTTTAGACTGATGCCAGGAGTTTTAGCTAAAACGATTGTCAAGAATTTTCACTTAATATCAATAAAGTATAGGGGATAATCATGCCTAAAGGTGAAGTTCCGATAGGAAACATTTTTCCTCTTGGTATACACAGACGTTTTCTCTACTTGTTTCTGAACTTAGGTTGGGAAGAAGCATCCTCCTTCCTTGCTTTCCTTAATGTGGCAGTGTTTTTCTCATATCCAAGGATCACCATCATTTTCTGAAGCCACAAGAACTGCAGGAGAAGCCTTGTTATTTTGGTAGGAACGGTGAAAGGGTAAGAGTATTTGGACGTTTTAAATAAACACTCTTTGGAGTATTTTAGCTTCTAGAAATTTTTAATACAAATAGTTTTTCTCCCTCACTCATTTCCCAGAGGGAGCAGCTGATCATTCCGATGAGCAAGCATTCTTGTAGCTGCTTTTATGTATGTTTGTTTTAAATTTATCGATCAAACATTTCCAACTGTCTTAACTGAACCATTTGGCATAGCAAGCAGAACCAGCCCTTAACTCTACTCCGTCCCACTTCGCACCATTCGAGGTCTATCTCTGCTGAAACCGTCACGAAAGACGCCCATTTTGCCCTGACTGTGATAAAAAAAGAACTCATTATGAGTACTCTCACATTAAGCTATGCGATAAACATCTTCAATTAATATAGCACTATAAAGATAAAAGGATTTGAGGGGAGCAACTAGTTGGAATACATAAAAGCCTTCAACATAGAAAGCCTGCTGCCTTTTTAAAACCTGCCGATTCATCTACGCTCTAGTGCTTTAGTACTACATCTTCTGCCCTTCTAGGAATAAATGAAGACACAACAGAAACACGTTGAAATCTCTAAAGCCATGTAAAACCCGAAGGCATTAAAATTTATTAAATGATGCAATAACAACAGAATTCTTTATTTACAATAGCATTATTTAACATCAAATAAGCAAATAGCATCAGCAAAGCAATATTAACTTGCATAAATGTATTTAAAATTTCTCTGAATATATCTACCTTTGCATAAACTGCTCACACTAGAAATACAAACATCAATGCAGGTGAACAAAGTGATGTTCAGAGTCAACTCCGTTTTGAAAATAAATCACAACCTGAAACACTGTAAGCTTTCTCCTGAAGAACCATAGTTTATATATTGCTTAATTTTACCCTTGTATAATCTTTTCATATACACACATCTCAGATGCAACTTCATGATGAACTGTACAAATAAAACCCACAAATGACATAAAGGGAAAAAATTAAATGACAGTAAATGTTTGAAGAAATGTGTCCATCATCTCTATTGAACAACATAAAGATTAAGTGATGATGCACTTATTCCAAAATTGTACACAATTCACTATACAAATATAATACATCAGACAGCTATGTAGGAATATACAAGACTTAAAAACAGATCTAAGGCATTATGCTAGATTTTAGCATTTTGAGGTTCTTGCACATAGCTTTTACCTGTAGTAAGAAACTTAAAAGATTTTGTTTTAGTCTACAAAGAAACACCAGGGAGAAAATTCTAATTAAAATCAAAGCCACTACAGTAAATTTTCTTTTGTGCAGAGAATGCTTTTGCTCTTAGGCAGCATACTACCATACAAATACTAGAAAACTTTTAAATTCACACCAACAATTAATGGCTTAAGTTGCATTTCAAAACTGATTGTGTATCTTTGGGTTCTGCAAGTGGAGCTGTGCCACCCATTCATCTGTTAAGCCCATATGAATTCCACTTTTAAACAAAGATTAAAAAATGTATTGTATAAACTGCAAAAACATTGCTTTTAATTAATACAGGCCCAAAGGGATACCGGTGTGGGACAATATTTTAAAGATCGAGTACAAATTAATTCATTGTAGCAAAACAGCTCACTTCACTTTTTAAACTTACCACATTACATGAACACTTAAACAGGTCGTACGACCATGTATATATGCTTATTTTTCACATTATGCGCCTTTCACATTTAGTAATGTAAGTAGAACACTGATTAATTGTTCTGTTAAACAAAACCCAAGTACTTTCTCCGACAAATTTACTGTATACAGGATGAAAAATACTGATAATGAAGGGAATTGATTTGGCTTTTTTGTTTCTATAGTGATCAATATGATCAGAAGATTCCTTCACTCACTTTTCTCTTTCATTAGTTAGAAGACGACTAAAGTCACGATGAACCCAAACGGAGCCAAAGTGATAGGTACAATCTCCTTTCTCTCAAAATGGCAATGGATGAAGAAGTATCATAATCACTACAGATGATAAGGGTTTGCAGGTCTGTCATGAAACGGGACAAATTTAAATTATTTTGTCCACTGTGAAAAAGAATAATCTATTTGCAGAGGTTATCGTTAAGAACTGAAAAAGAATGGAACAGAAACAAAATTATTTTAAAACCCATTTACACTTTGTGGTGCATGAAGTTCATTCCTTCAGATTTATACGTTCCTTATATAAATAATTTTTTGTCAGATATATAATGCAAGTTTAACACAAATGCCGTTGCAGTAATGAGGCTGTGGAGCTCAGGGCTGAAAGTTATTTTGGTTTCCCATCAGCACGTAAGAGGATGGCTCAGCTGAATAAAGATTCTGTTTGAGTTTGGTAACAGAACAGTGACAGCTGAAAAATGTTGTTTCTCCAGAACGGTGGCACTGGCCTTCTTAGGGACAAACACAACTGTACCTTTCCTGGGCTTTCATCAAAAAGCCTTCTACAGAAACAGCCTATTTCGAACCACCTTCATCATATTTTTCTCAGCCTTAATATAGGGTAGCTGCTATTTTATTTGAACTCCCACCTGAAAACCAAAACAAATTAAATGGCAACAGAATAAACCTTTCGCTCCCAAAAGGCATGGCTGATGAGATATTATAAAATGCATTGCATTTTACATGACATCAAAAAATCTGCGTTCAGGTTAAAAAGTTTGTGGATTGGGGGTCAGCGGAAAGAAAAGAGAGGTCAAAAACATCAATTTCTTAATATTTCAAGTCCTCAGAAACTGATGTCAGTTTAGTAAAAGATTATTCCAACCACAGTGGGCAAGAAAAAAAAACCACCCCCTAACAGTGGCCTGCTTAGTAACAGTTAATTTTTCTAAGATTTGTTACGAAAGGATATAAACATACAAAAATCAATAATTGGTTCCTACAGTGGCTGCATATAATATAGGTTAGTTAAATGACATTATGAGCAGAATCACAAGGTTTAGAAAATGAGAAGTCTCAAGCCTACAAATTAGGTCTAATCAAGGCATTGTGATCCTTTACAAAACACTTTTCCAGGAGACACACACGGCTAAGAAGATATCTAATTTAATACTGAAGTACCTCATTTGGAATCAACTTCACAACATGTATATCTCACAAAAATTATACAAGTAAAACACTTAAGTTTTCAACTTAAATTATTGCTTGTTTACATATAAACTGGATTTTATGTACCTTACAAAATGTCCTCGTAGTCCACACTGCTTTAAAATAATCAGAAACACACGATAGTGGTGAAGTCTGTAGTGATATCTGCTATAGGTATTACAGGAATTGTTATTTTCCCAGCTGAGGGGATGGGAACCAGGAATTATCATGCTTTAAAGCAGGTATCTTGAGCTCTTTGATATTACGCACCAATTCTGCCACTACCATAATCAGTACATGCATTACCATCGAACTTTGCTGTTCAGCATCCAGTAACTGGCTGTCCAGATTGCTGGAAACACACCTAGGGAAACAAGGGGGTAACCTGTTTTTTTATCCTATTAGAAAGAGGAGGAAGATGACAAGAGCTCAGGAGAGCCAGGTGAAAAAAAAAAAAAAAAAAAAAAAAAAATCAGGATTTGCTGATCGTTAGGAATTGAATTAAATAAGAATGTAACCAACTTGTATTTTTGGATTCATAACTTGCATTATAAACATTACCACAAAACCCAACCCAAACACCCCTTATAAACAGCCCTCTCACAGGGTAATTTTCATCTGTTTTACAACTTTAACCCCATTCAAAATTGGTCTGTGTAGTTTTCTACATCGGTTCATCTTCTCTGACTTGTTGTCAGTGGAACGCGCTCGTTGGAGGTCTCTGTATGTACCAGACGTTGCTTCTACACCCTCCTCCATGCCTCCTCTCAGCCCCAAAATGCAGGCCTTAGTCTAAAACACCAGTTTTCAGCCGGAACTGAATCCTTTGCACCAGACTGAGTAAGCCAAGGAAAACAAAGAAAAAAAAACAAGGTCTAGAACTAAACAGAAACAGAACAAGAGCATGGTTGTTTTTCCTTAAATACATACATTTAAATACATTCAATCTGACATGGTTTATGGAAATTGCCTGTCAACATTTACTTCGCAGGAGAGATCTAAGTTGCACTAAGGTGAATGCAGTGAACAGACTGAGCAACTGTCTGTACGCTAGCTTCAGACTGTCAAAGAAGAGGCTGCTCGTCGGCAACGACCGCCCGGCTCCCCTCGGGAAGGCAGGGCTGAGTCCTGTCAGCAGCAGGCAGCCGCCACTGGCGCTGGCAGCTCAGCTGGGTCATGACAAACAGACGCAGCTCTTCAAACCAGTAAGGATTTGGGGCCGTAAGCCCAGTCAGCTGAAGAAAGGAGCAACCAAATTACCCTCAGGGTCAGCAATATTTCTGCAAAAAAAGAGAAATTGGAGAAAAACAAATGAATTCTTCCTGCTGCGATAGTGAAGACGGATAGGTGAATGAGAGCTGGATGCTGGACTGCAGCATCCATCATGGATCATATATTGGTGTCCTATTTTAAGCCTGAAAATTAATTTGAATTTATAAAGCTAGACTTTTCTTTGTGTACATTGATACAATTGACCTGTGACTTAATTCCAGTCGTTATCAGTGAGGGTTTAATTTCACTGTATTCTTAGGTCCTTAATTAATTCCAATTATGATGGACATTATAACAACTTAGCATCATCTATCTGCCTCTTGTAGACTCCAGCTAAAGGCACAGGAATATGGTTTAAGAGAAGTCTCACACTTGGGGTATGTGTAGAATCTCCCTGTGTTACTGCTGTATCACTCTCAAAGGAAACAACTGCCTTGGTTCACTTTCCCCTCCAAGAAGCTTAATAAAAAAGGGAATAAAGAGGTAAAAAAAGCTTCAGCTACCGATTTGTAGATACATTCTTTACATCATACTTACTACCCTTGCAGTGTCTTTACATAAACAGAATACAAACTGGTTTCAGCTGAGTTGATTATCTTGTTCTTTCTTATTTAACAAAACCTCAGGATGTGGTTTTCACAGTTGTTTTAAGAGCGTCCCTTCCAGTGACTGCAATCTGTGCCTCTCTGCTTTCCTCCCCTTGCAAACTCCTGCTCCCATGGCGTGCTATGGTCAGCCAGGCCAGAGCGCCAATCCAGCCAAAACCCCATTTTTCTCCTCCCCTGGGGTTGCTTTTCACTCGTATCCCACGGCTCCGGCAGCAGAGCGGCTCTTTGCTTGCAGCCTCCTGTTGTGTGCAAGGAAGGCCCCGTTTGCTCAGGGCTGGCGCTGGCGGTAGGCAGCTTTCTCACTGGTCCATGTGCATGCTGCTAGGCTTCCTTCTGGAAGCTGTCTACACCATGCTTTGGGCTTTACCACTCTTTCCTCTGCAATCACAGAAGGCTTAGAAATGTATCTCTACTGTCAAAGAAAGTCAGCATCAGGAACCACCCTGCAATTCAGGAAAGCAAGGTCCTATGCTTTGTACACCTGCTGCTCCCAGCCCTGTTGGTGCAGCTGGAGCTCTCTGGGGGTCACCAGCCATGAGCACGGTCCGGAGGCCCAACACCGTCAGTCCTGCTCCTGCTCCTCCTAGCTTCATCAGAGCACAGAGACGCCACACTCGCATCCCTCAAATCCTGACTAATGTGGACAAGCTAAACTTCGGCTCTTCTCCCTGACATGTTGCGAGGCAGTTGGGGGACCCTGTAAGCGCTTTTTGATCATGAAGCGTTGAACAGAAGTGAAAATCCAAAGCTGTCGTTATTTTCAGAGTGGACATTTAGCAAACAGTATCTCTACAGAGATGCTAAATAAATGCCTCCACTATACCAGTGACTGGAAACAAATTCATGCACTGCAAAAGTTTTTTTTAATAACTCAAGAAAGATTTGAGTCACAGAGTGATAAAATATATGAAGGAGGGAATAAGACAAAGAAGTCACAAGTGTACCTCTAGAAAAACATTCCTCTACCCCTTTTTCTTTCAATATAACCAAAGCAAACAGGACTTTAAAGAAATATGTCAGTGACTTCCAGGCTGACAGTGCATGTGGGAAAAATTGCTCAGAATAACTTCCACAGCTGATGTATGCAACTTCAGAGTAGGGAAGTAATCTGAAAACCCCGAAGATCATTGACTATAAGACTCCTGCTATACTGTATTAAGTTAAACTGGACACCCCTCAAAAACCTCAGCTACAAACAGTATTCTTCAGACATTTACTTTTAAATAGGAGCAGGTTCAAAATTTTCTTTTACCATGTGAAATTAGTTAATACAAATTTGTTCCAATAATGGCAAAATAATATGATAAAACTGTTCCAGTTGCAACTATTTTCAGCTCTACAAATGAAGAGTACTTTGTGCATTGAGACAGAAAATTCTCTGTCCTCTAGTTACTTTAAAAACAGCTTCTCTGTTAAACATTAGTATCATCCTTGCAAGTCTTAAGCTGTAGAAGTTTTGTCCGTAACATATTAAAACAAAGTGAAACGGTATTAAGCAAACAAAACAGTAAATGTAGAGATCTGACATCCATAGTTGTACTGATTTCAGCAATAGCATGTTATTTCTTGGTTACTCAACTCTAAACAGAACCTATCCCTTTAAATGATACAGTTGTTGAGATCAACGTTATGAAACATTGAAAAAAACCCTCAAATTTGTCAGATGAGTTTCTCAGTTTCTCATTTGTCAGATGAATTTCTCAGCTTTCATATGTTAAAGCCACAACTGCCAAGGGATGAAGCACATTAATCCTCTCCTCAGCTTTCTAATTACACAGCTTGAGCTTTTTTTTAAAAAAAAAAAACTTACGTAGGAGTAGTTTATAGCACACATGCATGAAAATAGTAGCTACTTAACCTCTATTACGGTTCAGAGTTCAGTAAAAGGTATTTATAGTGCATATAAACCATCTACATTTTCCTTGACAGTCAGAGCTACATTAGTAGAATAAAAGTAAAATCACAGAGTGCAGTCTGACGTACCCTTACACAATAACTGCAGAGGCTTTAAGAAGTTACTTTTCTCCAGGTGAGACAAAACTGCTCTCATGCATGGCCACCGTCCGTCTCATCGTCATGGCACCGACTCCATTATTTTAATTTTGAACCCCACAGATTCCCTGTCCAAAGTCCTGCCGCTCGTTTCCTTCCACCTGCACCCTCTTCCCGGACTTCTCCCCACCCTCCCTCGTACCCTTTCTGCCACATCCCCTCTCTTTTCCTTCTCTCTTCAACCATTCCTTAAAATCTTCCTCTTCTGTCGTCTGCTTCCCCCTCAACAGCCTTATTCCCTTTCTTTCCTCAGTGGTACCGGGTATTTTGTTCTCTGACAGTCTACCTTCTCTTAGCACATGAAATTTAACTCGTTAGGGAATGCACGAAGTAGGAAGATAACACCTTGGTACATGACAGCTTCCGCTAAAGCAGGACATACTGCATCTTTTTATTAATCGTCAGAGTGACCGTGAAATGGTTGTACAAGAGACTCTCTATGCACAGATCCTTCCCTGTCAGAGACAGGCACTTGCATTTTGATATGAACCACGAAGGCGTGAAAAGAACTGGTCTCCTGGAAGTTTTAAACACATACGTGTGCAAAAAAAAAAGGGATGCAATAAAATACACGCACGGTTACTTCTTCCTCAGTACTTTCACATTCTTCATTTTCATTAATCCTGATAAGTTTGCAGTCAAATTTTTTGTTAAGTTCCCCTATTATTCAAATTTGTTTTCTCTAACAGTAGAAAACTGCGAATTTTGCTGCTGGATTCAGCGTAAGAGGAAAAATTGTTTGTTTAATTCCATCTTTCTGCTTTCAACGCCGCACACGGGGCAGCGACCGGAAAGAACGGTGCCCGGGAGGGCCCCCGAGCAGGCCAGACAGGGACGGCGGGAGGAGGCGCGGCTCAGCCCCCGTGTGGATGCCACGGCGGAGCTCAGAACAGGACCAGATGAAGCCCCCCCGCCCCCCTTTGCCGCGCCGTACGCAAAGGTCAGCTTCTGACGTCAGGGTGGGCCCGCGCAGCTGCCGCGCTCGGACCGGGCAGGGGAAACGCTGCGCTCTCGTTTCCAAGTCGCGGCAGGTCTCGCAACACCGGGTTTGTTGTAACAAACCTATCTTAAATGACGATTATTGCCATAAAAAAACCCTTCCGCTGCGGAGGGGCACGTGGAAACCACCTCGTTTACTTGGCCACGCGCCAAGAACGCCACAGTGTCTTTCCTTTCGTACTGTTACTGTCTGGAATACAAATCGTTTTTGACCTAAGCAAACGCTAATTACCCTGTCAGTTGGAAATTTGTGTGGAAGTGAGTTCAGTTCTACCACTCTTCTCAGAAGCAGCACTGTACAGAAAGCAATAAATTAAATAATTCATGAGATTTTTGCCCTAAGTATAATGCAATGAGAAGTGGAAAAACACTCCGGCAGGATGAAACATGAAATGGGTTAAGCGTGCAGCAGTGCAGATAGAAATCAACAGTAAGTCTTTCCCATCATCAGCAAATAGTCGTGTAATTGCTCTGTAAAAAGCAAATACAACTATATATAAGTCTGCTGAATGTGACTGTTTGTTAATTCAATAATGTAATGTATTCTGTTAATGTAAATGTATCCTGCATTATTCACTCCGGTAATGCTAGTGGGAGCTAAACAAGGAACTTAATATAGATGTCACCAAAAGCGGACTTAAAAAATTAATTGCAAAAAACTTAATTACTATTACCCTGGGTACTTGTAACTTTTTAAGTATACCACAGTATATTCATAGTTCCATTGCCTCTGTATGCCTGTACATGTCATTTCTCACCCGTGTTGCATCTCCGTCCTGTTTTATCATCTCCATTCCAGGCAGCTGGTTTGGAAAGAGATTGCCTCCCCTCATAGCAGGATCATTAACCTGTTGGTAACAAGATATTAAGGAGAATGAATTAAAAAATACGTTGGGAAGAGGGCTGGGAATTAAAAAGAAGCATTATAAATCACTATGCTACTTGCATATACCAACATCCACTTCTGAGAGGATGTTGCGATCAGGGAAGTGACTATATAGCTGAGCACCCTTCTTGTGCAGCATGTGTTTGACTCATATGATTCTGCTTCACGGTCAACAACAAAGATTTCATTCCTGATACTATAACCCTTGTGCAGATTTTACAAAACAGGCTCCATAAATTAGGTCAGTCTTATTTGAAGAGGACATGTCTGCTATGAAAGTCCTGAAAGCAGAAACGCGTAACTGCTTTCCTAACCTCAATAACACACGGCTTTTCTGCTTGCAAACCACCACACAATTTTTTCAAAGCCTGATGAGATAACATATAGGCTGAATTATACTGACTATTGACTTAGTTTTAATGACACTTATTTTTCTGCTCGTAAGCAATGGGAGAAAGATAGCATTAAATGGGAAAACTGGCAGCTGCATGCTTTCCTAAACGGATGGTGTCAACAATTCTCTGAACACAGCCACGGGAAAGTATTGAAGCTGTGTGGTTTTTGCACAACGAAAGGGTCTGTCATGCTTGTGGAAAGAGTGGCGTGCCAAATTTACAGCATTGCTTTCTTAATCAAAGGATTAATCTCACCGTGTAGGAACTGGTATAAAATACAAAAGACAGCCCTTCAGCATGGTTCTGAAATATTAGAAAATCCAGCTTTCCTTAGAAGTTTTACAGGGAAAGAAACCTCTTCCTAGGGAGTCTTTGTTGACTCTGTTCCCTCTGTTACTTCCCTCGGACTAGATGGATGTGATAATAGTGAAGATATGCCCCTCCAGATCTTGCTGGAAGGAAAAAGATGTTTTCTGTGTCACCTGCCCTTCAGGAGACTCGTTGCCAAGGAGAGGAGATTCTGCTGCTGCACTACCTCACTTCAGCTACAGCAACCTGCTGCAGCAAGGCGGGAAGACTGTCTTGAATTTACCACACCAAAGTCTTCTCGTTTCAGGCCCTCCTGACTGTTGTTTCTGTTGCTCCTCACTCATTTTTTGCAAAACGTTGCAAAGCTAAATGAAATCACGTGCAACCACCTAAAGAGGTGGTTTCAAACGCTGCCAGAGACAAGACTGCAGTTCAACAGGAAAGGTTAAAAACTTAAATATTTTTGCCATAGGAATTTCAACTCTGAAGAAATCGATTGTTTAGTGCTGCATGCCTTCTAGTGATGCTTTCTGCTTCTTAATACAAATGGGCAGCTGTTTAAACCTGAATCTGAAAATTTAAATCGGAAGGGAAGACAACCACACTATTTTGTTTGGAGAGAAAGAAAACAGACAGCTTCGCAGCTGTATCTACATGCATTTGACTAAGCAACAGAATCCACGTTAGGAAAGCGTTTTCTGCTGTTGATGAACATTCATCAGAATGCACAGGCACAAATGCCGTTTTTATTTGTTCAGTAGACAAAGGAAGGAAAAAATAAAAAGCAGGAATAAAAAACTGTATACTGAATCAAGAGCAGTTTTGGAACAAAAAGATGAGTGCAGATTTGCATCATGGCAGAGTTGGGACGAGTATGGCAAAGGAAGATGGTTCCAGGCTGCAAGCCACAAAAGCAGCAAAGGCACCAGTGAAGTTCCTATCATAGAATCTCTTTGCCAGTGATGATGCAAGAATCCTGACTGGCACGGTAACAGATAAAAAAAAATAAAAATCTACTGTTTTGTTATATGAATACATTTGCTTCAGAAGTCCTTGAAACAAAACACCCCACATTCACACATTAACTTTTCTGACTGCAATAATAATTCAGAGAAGTATTGAGAAGGACAAAGAAATGGGAGGGTTTTTATAGTTTTCTGAAGACAGGTCAAGTGGTGTTATCAGATATGAAATCTGACTAAAATAAGACAGAAGATATTTTACAATTCCTTAGCAATCAAGCACATTAATATGGCCTCCTGCTAATAAAGCAGAATTATATACCAGGTGTCTAATAAGAAAAGTTTCCTACCACTCCAGAGCTCCTTTCATCCAATATACTGAAAAAAATCATAATCCTGTTTCAAGGTAACTCTGTAGATGCCATGATAATTTTGGCCTGGGGAGTACTGCACCTGCACAGATTAATAAACATCTGCTCTGAGTGGACCTCTGGATAGTGGTTTAGTTCATATACTGAAAAGTCTCTTCTCTTGCATAGGTTTCAAATTGCTTCTCTGACAACTCAGTAAATAACATGGATCGGTGATGTAAAATAAGTAACAGGCAAAAACACGGCAACAGCCTGTTGTGCAAACAAGAAGACAGTGACGACGAGGAGACAGTCAGTTGTGTGAATGGTGCAACACTGGGAAAATTTAGACTTTTTCGATGCCTGGGGAAGCTGTTTTGGACAGAAGGAACCTGTAGACCTGGCCGCTAGCATTTCAGCATTCCTGATATCAGCCTCCTAGAAGACACACTAGTAAGAGCAGCCTAGAGAGCTTTAACGTAATTATAAGGGAGAAGATGATAACGAGACAAGGTCTGATCCCTCAAGTACATAAAAGACTCTCTAAGCATCATAAATAGCAAGCCCAGGGAAAACACAACATTTTGGGCAAAATCTTCCTTTTCTACTTGGTGATGCTGGAAGCCTAGGCAGTAAACAAGAGAAGCTGGAGACATACCAGTATGAGCAGATAAACACCAAACTTAGTATTTCTGGGCTCTGGATATGCCTGTATGATACAGTATAGCGCCACAAAGAGAGACAGGAGACAGAGCCAAACAAACCTGTTTGGTACCAAAGGTAATATACTTGCTTGTCACCAGGTAAATAAGCCCACGCAGAGCTTTTTACTAATGAGTAATACATATTACTTCCAAAACCATCTAATAACATATGAAGTGTTAAGTTGGTTTTTTGTTTTTTTTTTTTTTCAAAAGCTGAAACACATTCGTAATGTAACCACTGTTATTCACTGTGGTTAGAAAGAGATGAGCATGTGAAGTTAAAATTATGTATTATGGAACAAAAAAATGGCAATGAATAAGTAAGTAAAAGTGTAGGTGACAGTATAAAAAAAAGCCAAAAGAATGAATGAAATGGCAACAGTCAGCAGAACTAAAGAAAACATAGTCATTTTGAAAACCACCAGTTAAAAGAAAAAGTTTAGCACAGGTCAGTTGCTAAATAAAGATGCCAAATTGTAAAACACTATCCCCTGAACACAGAAAAAAAGAAACCAGTTTTAGTATTAATATAAACATTTTAATTTATTCCTGTCTCTCTGAAAAGAAAACGTGAAGCAGCACAGCAAACACTCGCGAGGACTAAAAAGTACTGTCTTGTGACCCAGAAATGGCCCCTCGGCTGCCAGTTGGCCACCTCTGACCAAGATGAAACATAAAACATTTGCTTGCAGAGTTTGCAGATGACACAGTGCTGGGGCAGTAAATCATGAAGAAAACAGGTTACTGTTACAGAATGAGCCACAGCCCTTGAGGAAGGTAATACATTTGGGAACAAAGAACACAGGTTTCATCTATGTAGAACGTGCTGAGGAGGATTTGGGGATCACTGTAAGGGTTTTAATACGTGCTCTCCAGTGCGACATTGTCACCAACAGAGCCAAGGCAACCCATGGACTGGAAGAGAAATTGCAAGCGGAACTCGACTCCGCACAGCTTTGGTGCAGTCACTGTTAAATCACTGTCTCTAGTTACTCTGTTCATACTTTTAAAAGGGGGTTACAACAGTGGAGTTTAAAGTAGATCCACAAAAGGGACTGATGGGCTGAAAAACAAATGTTGAGATGGATAAAGAACCTCAGCCTATTCAGCTTACTGGAAGTTAGATAAATGCTATCTTGAAACAAGATCTTGTAGTCTAACAGGAAGGAAAAGCAGCGTGACAACTGTGCTAGTGGAAACAGTAGTCTGCATGGAAATCTCTGAAATAAAACCAGATCTCTTTCTATAATGCATGTTTCTCAATTCAGGTTCCTGGGGAAAATTATGTAGCATGGGCAGGCTGAGAAATCAGACGGGGCTGTCACCTTCAAATCCCCACTCTTCTTTTTTTGGTTTTACTGTTGCTTTACTGCACTAAACGTGTGCAACAGTATGCACTTGGGAACTGATAATTATGAAAAAGTCTGCTATAGTTGGGCATAGCAACCGGGAATATCAGAGAAGGTGACAGATTTGGGAGTATCAGAATTACTTCAGGTCACCAGTATGCGGCAGCTGTAAAGACAAATGTGATCTGGGGCTATATCTGTCAGAGTATTCCAAGAGAAATGGGGAAGAACTAGTGTTATGCACATGGATCTGGTGCTTAGGAAATACTGATTCAAACTGGAACAGGTGCAGAAAAGGAAAGGGAATTTAAAGCCTACAAGAAGAGACTGAACTTGTGAGAACTTGTGAACTTGAAGAGACTTGAACTGTGGCTTGTTTAACTTACAAGAAAAAACCCCAAGAAACTCAGAACAAAACGCTCCAACAACCTCAAAGCAACAATAAAAAATCATGTTGATAGAATGGCTCTTTCTAAAATACAAGAAGAGAAAAGAGCTATTTAAGCTAAAGGACAATATTGGAAAAGTAAATAGTCTGTTACCAAATTTAGGCTGGAAAATTAGATATTAGGAAAAACTGCTTCACCGAAAGGGTTGTTAAGCATTGGAACAGGCTGCCCAGGGAAGTGGTTGAGTCTCCATCCCTGGAGGTATTTAAAAGCCAGGGAGACGTGGTGCTTAGGGACATGGTTTAGTGGTGGACTTGGCAGTGATAGGTTAACGGTTGGACTTGATGATCTTAAGGGTCTTTTCCAGCCTAAATGATTCTATGATTATGGTCTCAGAAGAAAGGTTTACGATATTGTCCACCATAGCAGGAGACACTGCCTGAAGACATAAGAGGTACTTTCCTGCCAATACTTCTACGAAAAGTCCGTAATTTTAAGTCTGTGTTGAACAAATGGGAGTTCAGCTCTGAAACAAACATATGAGCCTGTTAATTAAGAGGACTTGTTTGTCAAATATTTATTAATGTACTGTGTGAGTTTAATTGCAGGTCAAACAGAAATCTTATCTTCCTTACTTCAGATGCCCTAAGTAGCAGTCTCAAATAAAATTGAGTGTGCAAACCTCCTCTGAACAGAAAAGAACAGGTTACTTACCTATTGATTCAGCAATCTATTTTAAACGTGCCACATTAGAAAAAGTGTGGATTTTGTGCTTGTGAAGGTGCCAGATTGATAGTTCTTGAAGTTGACTGCCTCTAGTCTGGTACTACAAACACAGTAGCAGTAGAAGCATCTTCCACACACTACCCACACCAGCATCTTTCACTCTTATCTCTAGGAGACAGCTGCCTGGCATTCAGTCCTAGCCTCCACTGCTGAGAAAATTAGCAAGGACACTGGTGACCTGCAACTGTGCTACAGAAACTTACCTACTGAGAACAGGAGCTAGATCAGCACACGCTTCCCATGGAAGTCCAGGACCAACTACATGTGCTAGCTACAGTGGTCACAATGGGAAATTTAGATGCAAAAGGTGCTCTCTACCTCATCAGTCACCTTGGTTATCTGAGTGCAGAGCTAAAAACAAAGCCTTTTTATCATTATCATTTCTCAAGAAAACTAGTAAAAGAAACGTAATGGCTTACAGCAGTTACAGCCCAACGCAGCGGACCTGAAAAACTACTGGAAGTCAAAGAAAATCCTCTAGCTGTCATCTCAAGTCCTTAAATTCTCACCTGCTCAGGACCCATGGAGGACAACCCTGATGTAGGCACAGAGGTCGCTGAGGTCATGCTGATCTGCCCTGTCATCTGGTTCATGTTGTTCATACCACTTGTGTTGGTTGCCATGGATACACTGATGTTCATGTTATTATTGTACATGCTGGTGCTTGCTTGCTGCCCAAAATGTGGTGGGGACTGTTGTGAAAACATGCTACAGCAAGGAATGGAAAAAGCAATGTGTCAGACTTAGAATGCTGAAGCCACTAAGAAACTACTCTCTTTTTAATATATCTTAAGCTAGAATTTTTACATACTGTTGTTTATGCCAGCTTCAAAGGAAAGACTACTTTTCAGCTACATTAATGTCTAACGAATAGATTTTCAAAATTTAAGGTCCCATGTCGGTGCACAAAAATGCATGCCTTTGCGTGTGAAACTATGGCAGAGTACAAATCTGTTATGCCTGTGCAGTAACAGCCAAGTAGCTGTCTAAATGGGCTTTGTATATATTTTAAATATGTTTGGGAAAGTAATTTTTGGAGGGAAAGGAAAACCCCTTTTTCTCCCTCCAGTGTTAGCACAGGACAGGACTGCTGAGCTGATATTGGATCTGGTCTAATACACCTTCTTTTTGCAAAAGAGGCTATTTGCACATAGGAATACCAGATTTGCACATACAGTTATGGCAAGTGGGCTCACAAATATAGACATGCAATTGTGCAGAAATTCATTTACTACATCTTAGCATCAGGTTTTGAAAATGTGGCACTGTAAGAAACAACATAAAGTCTAAGACCATTACCCTCTATGTTCCTTTAAGGGCATTTCAGAACAACTTAAGGAGGAGTAACTGGAAGATCTTATCCCAGATTTTATTCGAAGTCAAGTGCTTTCTGGATAGTATCTTCCTTCCCGTTATGTCAGAAGTCATATGAGACTTTTTCATATTTCCTAAAATGCACTTCACTGTCTACATATCAGTCTTCTCTACTCTTTGAGCATAATCCAACAGTCAATGAAGGAATTATTACTGAAAATGTGTCTGTTTGGAGGATCTGCACTAGACTGAAATGCTGTGGAAGGGCTGCTGCGTGTCGGATGGCACACAGTAACCACCTCTGTATCAATGGCGCTGACTTTTACTTCCCTGTGAAGCACTACTCCCACAGCTGAGGACATCTTTCAGGGTTAACGCTCAACCTTGCACTTGGGTACTCCATTAGGCTATTGCTGCACACTGTGAGGCTTGGTGGAGTGCAACGGCATTCTGGGCACAGGACCAAACTCAGAAAATCCCACCATTCTCTTCCTTCCAATTCCATGTCTTTTCAGGCCACCTAACCCCATTTTTAAGTTGTTATCTGGATGGCTGAAACAGTACACTACAGATCATTGTGAATACTCAGTGGCTTGTGTAAACGCATTTGACATGTCTCCACCATAGAGCTGCAGTTTAGCAAGCCAACCATTAGTCTTATCGAGCTGCCCCTGCTGCTGTTTCAGCAGAAGCCATGACAGCAGTAGCTATGCCTCCTGCAGATGCTTCAGGAAGACAGTGTGGAAGAAGCATGGACAAGGACGAGGATGAGAGATAAATCAGTTGCTTTAAGGGGAACTTGGATCAGCCTCGTCACGGAAATACTGTTTTTCTGGGTTTATTAAATCTTTGTCAACCAGTGGGAAAACGATTTGTTGCTGGGCTGGGATAGTAAGAGCAGCCTGAGAACTTCAGGATGACAAAAGCACTGTGCTAGAGACAACTGTGTGCACCCCAGTGTCAAGTGATACAGGCTGTACACCAATCTGATAGCTCCTCCTGTCTTCCAGTGAAAAGCACAGATCGTTGCCATCTGGAAGCTCGTTGCTGCCTATTGATAGCATTCAACACCCAACCCATTCAATGTGGACAGACTAATTATTAGAGCTGTGCCGACTGGGGCATGGGCCTCAGCTGAAAAGGTGACTGCATGCATGAGGCATGCTACAATGCTCTTAGAGAATGACAGTTGTATGCTGACCCCCAGTATGTGCAAGCACTAATGGATTGAACCTGGTTGCACTCCAGCATTTAAAGTGGGAGGTGATACCAGTCACCGCAATTCCAGAGCAGCAGGGAATGCATAGGCTCCGGCTCAGCTGATCCAGCCGTGTGGAAAGCAGTGTGGGAGCACATGAAAATCGTATGCAGAAGAAATACATCCACACAAATGTTAGGGGCTGGAGCTCACTGTGCAGCGGAGATGCTTCTTAAGGACACACAGTGTTTTATCAGTTATCACAGGCAAAGCAATGCATTGTGTGGATGCAGGTCTTTTAGCTATGCACTCACTTTGCCTTGTATGAAGACAGAATTTAAACCAACTCGTCAAGCCAAATTGAAAAGAAATCTCTTTTAGGATAGATAGTTAACAACAAACACATAAGCAAACAATTACATATATACAACCCCATAAATAAGTATAGACCGTAAGTGACCCCATTACTCTTCATTTTCATTTTGTTCTGGATTTACCTGTTTCCACCCATATTCCCTTGTGCCCACCCATTCATCTCCGTAGAGGACTGATAGGCAGGATTCGCCTGAGACTGCTGAATCATGGGGCTTTGACTGTGAGCCAGTCTTGGGGACATCAGTGGACTCTGAGGAGTGGTGGCCCCTGTGAAGCCTGGATCAGGCTGCTGACTAATACCTGAAGAAGAAAGCGAGAAATTTAGACACTGTACATTCAAAGTTAAAACAAGCCAAGAGCTCATACCTGCAGACACATCTTTACACAGTCCTCCTTATGTCATGTGGAACCTATAACCTCGTATTTTAATGTGGGATCTAGATTAAAAGCAAGACATCATCAACTAATACTTACGTATAACCTTAAAAAAAATCATTTTGCATAAGTATGTTGGCTACCTGTGCGTCCTAATCACACAAGCACTCTCTCCTCTCTACAGACCAAACCAAAAACACTGGTAAAGTGACTTTTTTTTTTCCAGAAACTGCATTCAAAACAACAAATAAAACATTTTGCTTGTCTATAAATCCGTTTTGGTGAAAGTTGTGCATGACTCATTTACTGCATGGCACCCCATTTTAACATTTAGGCTGTAATTTTCAACTTTTTCTAAGGTTGCTAGAATCTTAGTATCTCTATTTCTGTGTCCCTGCAAAAAGAGGCAATGACATTTTATGCAAGCATTTAATGACTTTGTAAAATAAAAAAAAAAGCCAGGTGCAAACAAAACCTCATTTAAGCTGTTATATGCCAATTGTGTGCAGAAGTTTTGTTTTAAACCAAGTCATTTGGTCCTTTTTAAGTTCATCACGAACAGCATACTCAACAGAAACAAGCCACCCTTAATGCTGGCGTAAGAATCAGGTGGTATGAAACATACTGCTATATTCACTGTCTGCATGACTTAACTTCTTACTGGTGTAAACGATAACAGATCAATAAGAGTAGATAGCAAATTCAGAATTGGATGGACATAATTTGTTCTATCAGCAGAACTTGGACATTACATATTATTTAAGATACTTGTAATACAATTTATACAATACTTATAAATAAAGAAGCTGTATAACAATAACCATACGGAGGTCACTGCCCCATGCACCCCCAGAACAAAGCAGTATACAGCTTTGTAAAACATACAAACAAAATGGTATTAGCTATCCTATTACACACAAGTTTAAGGACAGGGAAAGGAATACCTAATCTGAAACAAATTTTTATTTAAACTGAATAGTTGCTAATTTTACATTATAATGCACACACGAAGAATTATCTTTTTGGGGGAAGAATCTACCTGATACTTAAGCAATACCTCATTACCAAACCACAAAAAATCCCCACCAATATAAAAACGATTTGAAAGGATTATGTACAGCTCTGCTTCTGCTGAAGCTTCTGGTCACCTTATGCTGTTTGCCAGCATCAATTCGTATCTTCTTCTTCATTTGCACTTTTTACTGTATATATTGGTTTGTTGAGTGTAGTCAAAATTCAGAGTCCATCAAGCCAATACATACACATATACGCGTTCCTGTGTGCATACACATTTGTATGTGTTTATATGCATAGATATATGCAAACACACACATCGCACTTCTGTTATTGCTCAAAAAAAGAGCAGTGCTCAAAGAATACGTGGTACTAGAGCTGGGAAATTGCAAGGTACCACGTCGCATTTGAGGACTGCCAAGGGGCCTGAAGTTCCCATTGTTCCCAGGGAGCCAGGCAAGGGGCTGTGGGAGGGGGGCTTGGACCCAGCACTGGGGAGGACACGGGGGAGTAAGGACTGCCGAAATGCACTGGGGAGGGTGGAACAGTACCGTAGTTTGGAGGAAATGGAAACTGCTGTGCATTTGCCTGCGGGATCCGCGGATTGCTCATGGTTGCTGGTATTCCACCAGTGGCCACCATGCTGGGGGTCATGCTCAAGCCCTGCCCTCGCATCATCAGCGTCCGCTGCTGCACCTGCTGCTGCTGCTGCTGCATCTGCCGCTGCCGCAGGTGCTGGCTCAGGATCTCCCGCTGCCTCTGCGCCAGCATCTGCGCGTTGATAGGGCCCTGCAGGGAAAACCACCGCCACCTATCAATAACCCCTTCTAAGGCAACCTGACTAGTGGAGGCATCTCCACTGGAGCAATCTGGAAGATTCCAGCTCTTTTTTTCCCCCCACCACACAACTAACAATAACATTAAATGGGAGAAAATAATCCTATTAATAATTCTGCTGGGAAAGACTTCCAACAGTGCAAGAGTCAGTAACTGAAATAATACCAGTGTTTAATGTTGCAGCAATTTGTTATTGCAAATAGAGTAGCTCATTAAAAAAATGCATCTTTAGGAAATGAGAAGCTTGGTTAAAAATGCAGTTATATCGTATCTCTAGTAAACAAACATCCACCCCATGTAAATATGGGCAAGACTCTCAGAAATAAAACAGTAAAATACTTATCATACAGACTGCATTATTTGTATTCAAGCTTTAGAATTTATTGTATGTATTTACCATAATATAGCATTACTACTGTATTTAATGGGGGGGAGAAAGAAGAAAACAAAGTGATTTTTTTTTTTTTTTTAAAGTACTATTTCTCTCACCTGTGTTGGCACTCCAGGTCTCAAAGACAGATTCATATTGGAGACACTGCTGATCTGATTTATCAGTGGCTGCCGATTCTAAAGAAAAAAAAACCCAAAAAACCACCAAAACCCAAAGTTTTTGGAAGGAAAACAAGAAAAGGGAAATTATAAAATTTCAGGGTTCTATACATCTACTTCCCGATCAGGTGGTTTGAGGACCTACTTTTACATATTCAAGCAGGGACTAATTTTCCTGCTCAAGTCCTATTATCATTCACAGAATCCTGTTTCTTAAGGAGATAATACACCATACAAATAACAACACAGGCATTAAGCTGTTTACCAAACGTGCTGCCTTTACAGTTCCTGTCCTTTTTGAGTTTGGGACTAGACTATTGAAGTTTACTCTGAATTAGACTCTATCCTGATGTTTGAAGGCAGAAATGATGTTTCCTCCTCCACTAGAAAAGCATTAATATCTTATTTATAGTATTACAAACTTATATATTTAAAAATGAACAAGAAACAACAACTTAAAATGATCCTCAAAAGTAGACCAAGGCCAAGGAAAAAAAAGGATGTAGGTAACAGGCAGCAATAAAAGCATTTAGATTGCTGGAAGAGTGAAGATATAACAAACAAAAAAAGACTTCTATAACAAAAGGCACCACTGTAGCCTTGCTCAAAGAATTAGTGAGACCTAGGCTTAAACACTAGGCACATTCTTGCACAGTACTACAGAAAGAATAATGGAAAGATGCAAAAAAAGATCAAAACAGAGAACGCGCAAGGTACCGTCTCGGCAAACTCATTAGGGCTAGTGTTTTTAGCTTAAAAGTGGAATTGGGCTATAATAAAACAGGGTACACACTTAAGACCTGGACTATTCGGAGCAAACTGACAGTCAGTAGGTGCCGCCTGCACCAGCGTGAAACTGGGCACGGAAGGGGACGTACCTGCTGTGCCTGGAGCCTGTGCTGCAGCTGGAGCCGCAGCTGGTTTGGCTGGTTCTGCACGATGCCGGTGGGCCGGAGGCCGGGCCGGGGCTGCATGCGCAGCGCTGCGTACCCCGGGCGCTGCCCCATGGCGTGGAAGCTGGGGTCCTGCATGGGCGCGTAGCTGCCCTGCGCCATCTGAGCCTGCGCCGCGTACTGCTGGGAGAACACCGGAGCCTTCTGCTCCATCAGGATGCTCGACTCCTGGCTGGGGAAGGTCTCTGGGTCGACAGCTTGGCTCTGTGGAAATATGTGAACAATAGGAACAGTTGGTGGGACACGGCTTTTCACAGGATTATACGAGACTAATGCAGCCACCCTGCAAAACCAACCTTCTAGGCTGTGAATGTTTTTAAACAGAAAATCACACACATTTTCTTTACCTAAATATAAAACTTAAAATTAAACAGAATTATATTTTTGAGTGTCAAAACTTATTAATGGAGAAAAATTCCTCCTCTCTTTTCTTTTTTTTTTCTTAAAACGAAGACCCACGATCTTTGTCATGTTCTTAACATAGCCATTGTAGCCATTATATCATTCTGCTAATGAATAAACACCTGAGATGACAAATGCTATATGAAAATCTGTAAACGAAGTGTTGCCAGCATATTTTTGCCATTGAATCCAACATAAATTAAAAGACGTTACAAATGAATAAGGATAAGAAAGTAGATTTTTATCAGTATCTTTAAAGAAAATAATGACTTCAAATAAAGATGCCTGAAACTATTACAGAAGCTAATGTGAACAGAGTGCCTAATTCTTTCAGGACACTTTTGCACAAACCAATTATCCATTAGCATAAAAAAGCTAACACAATTCTAAACTCCATTCTAGATACTCCCTTAATATTTGCTCTAGCCAGAATAATTTAATAGCTTATTCCACACTGACCTTGGAAATCAAGTTAATCTAAATTTCAGTGCCCTCATGAAAGAAAGACTTTAAGCTCCTATAAAACATCTGATGGATATTTAAAAAACATGTTCTAAAATGCAACAGTTCTCTTATCTGCAAAATTCTTTAACTGTTTCCACTGATATATTAATTAAATAGAACGATATTTACCATTTAGTTTGAAATAAAACGTTATTCATATTTTTTTGGTGGTGGTATTCCAAAAGCTATGTCATATTGCGTGAAAGTTTCACACTGCAAAACTGAAGTTCACCAATAAATTATATCTCCACCTTAACACCTCACTGAGTTCTGTTTGTACTAAATAGGCCTGGAGAGTGTTTTCTCATGTCCAAAGCAGGATTTCATTGATCCTATTTCATATCTAAAATGCAGAGCTAATTCAGAAGTTATGGTCAGGACGCTGATAAGTGCTGGGAAATGAAATAGGTATTCTAGGCTTGTCTGAGAATATTAAATTATTATAGAGACATGTACAACTGTTTTTGGAAATACAATTTTGATGCCAGAGACATCAAGCGCTAACTCTCCCCCCCCCCCCCTTTTTTTTTTTATCCCCCCTTTTTTTTTATTCTATAAAAAAAAAATGC